TGTAAATACCCATTTACATCCAACTGGTTCTTTTCCCTCGGGAAGATCCACCAATTCCCATGTACCATTTTTATGTAATGCATTAATTTTTTTCTTCATTGCATCTGCCCATTCAAGCACTAAGAGAGCTTCTGCCACATTCTTAGGAATAGGAACACTGTCATTGGAAGAGAGGAATGCCCGAAAGGAAGGTGAAATGTTTTCATAGGAAACAAAATGGGAAATGGGGTGCTTGGTGGTGCAAGATCTAACACCCTTCCAGAGAGCAATAGGAAGGTTAAGATCATCAATGGTGGAGGTATCAATAGCAATAGGGTCAGAAATACCAATGGGAACTAAGGTACCTAGCTGGGTAGGATCCATCCCTAGAGAATTTGATGGCATTGGTGGTACAACTTCTAGATGCTCCATAGCTCTTGAACTTGGTTGGCCTTTGTGACGACGGCAAAAAGCACGAAAGGGAGGAGGATCAGGTAGAGGAGGATTTTGAACCTGTTTGTCCTTATGCCTACACTCCCCCTAAGGAGAAATAGGAAAGAAAGGTTCACTCCCAAAAAAGGAGACATCCATGGAAACATGATATTTCCGAGAGACGGGATCAAAGCACCGGTACCCCTTATGATTTGTAGGGTACCCCAAGAATATGCAAGGATAGAACAAGGATCCAATTTCCCATGAGTGGGTGACAGGTTTTGAACAAAGCAACGACAACCAAAAACATGGAGAGGAATAGACAAAAGAGGAGCCTTGGGAAACAAAAGCTGATATGGGGCTTTGCACTCTAACCACCGAGAGGGCATGCGGTTAATGAGATAGGCAGCACAAATGATAGCTTCAAGCCAAAAACGTTTGGGGACATTCATATGAATCAATAGTCCCCGAGCTACTTCAAGAAGATGGCGGTTCTTTCTTTTAGTAACACCATTTTGTTGTGGTGTTTGGGCATAGGAGCTACGGTGGAGTGATCCACGTGAAGCAAAGAACTCCATAAGATCATTATGGAAGTATTCTTTGGCATTATCAGATTGGAAGATTTGGATTTCGGTTTGAAATTGGGTGAAAGTCATTCTTTGGAAATCTTGGATAATTTTGGATACTTCATCCCTAGTTCGCATGGGATATACCCATGTGTACCTGGAATAATCATCAATAAAGGTAATAAAACACTTTTAGCCACTTTCAGATGGTAAAGTAACTGTGCCCCAAACATTAGAGTGAACAATATGAAAAGGAAATTCGGATTTATTATTCTTTGAAGAAAAATGAGTTCTACAATGTTTACTCAGTTGACAAGTTTGACATATCAGCTTTGACACTAACACTGACTTAAACAACTCTGGAAACACAATCTTTAAGGAATCAAAGGGTAAATGACCAAGACGACTATGCCATAAATAGGCTTGACTCTTAATAGACTGACTCTTAGACTCTGTGACTACAAGGCTAGCCTTATTCTCCAGCAAGTAGACACCATCCACCATACGACCTCTACCAATCATCTTCCCCTAGTCCAAATCCCGAATTACACAATAAGAAGGGAAGAAGGTTATTGAACAATTTAAAGAATTGGTTATACTATTAACAGAAAACAAATTAATAGGGAATTGAGGAACATGTAAAACATTAGAAAGTGTAGGACCAAAAGGAAGAGAAATAGTTTCTTGACCAGCTATGGTAGAGAATGAACCATCAACCAGTCTGACTTTGTCTCTTCCAGAGAGAAGATGATAGGTCTGAAAGCAGGTAGACTTATCGGTCATATGTTTTGACGCTCAAGAATCAATTATCCGATGAGAGTTAGAGGAATGAGACAATATATGGAGAGTTGTGGCAGAATTACTTGATGTAGACACATATGAAGTTGATGGAGAAGGGGCATCCATCTAGCAAATTGCCCTACCATAAAGTTCTAAATGATCACGGAAGGAATTAATGATATCCTCCCTAGTGTCAGAACCAGTAGTATATGTCTGAACTGCAGTAGTAGTAGGGGGCTGTTTCTCCTGAGTAGCCATGTTTGTTGTAGTGAATTTTCTTGAACCTTGCTGACTTAACTTCTTATTCAGATCTGAGCCCTGTTTCTTACTCAATTCCTGAGCCCATTTCAGCTTCCCATGAAGGTCCCAACATGTGTCACGAGTGTGTCGAGGCTTCTGGCAATGGGTGCACCATTTCAGCTTCCCTTCTTAAAAGGATTTCCCCCACTTGTAACAACACTTCCTTTTACTGCCAGCACAACTGCATCTCCCCTAGAATTATTCATCAGATTCCTTCTACTTTTCTCTAACTCTGCTAAAGCATATAGCTCTTAAACGAAAGGGAGATCCTTGCTTCCAAGGATCTACACTCTAATGGATTCATATATAGGGTTCAAGCCGAGGAAGGCAAAGACCCTCTGTTGATAAACAAGAGACTTATATGCTTTCACATCTTCATCACACTTCCAATCTACACTTTGGTAGTGATCCAATTCTTTCTAGATGGAAGAGACAAGTCTGAGTAGTACATAGAGAGACTCCTCTCCCCCTATTTGCAAGTAGAGGATTCTGCCTATAACTGATAGATCTTTGCATAGTGTCTCAATTCAGAATAGGTTGACTTGGCTTGTTCCCAAATCTCATAAGCTGTTTCAGCCCACATAAAATTTCTTCTCACTTGAGTTGCATAGACACTAAGAGCCATGACATTACCATGCTGTTCTCTCGGTTCCATCTATCATGTTCAACACTCCCAGAATTAGGTTCTTTAATTCTTCCATTTATATAGCCTATTTTTCCCCTTGCAGTAATGTATAGTCCGATCCCCTTCGACCATTAAATAATTCAGACCATCAAGAGGTATGACAGCCATAGGGAAGGATAAATCCATACCCCCACTCAGTCCATTCTGCATGGATGAAACACTGGAGGTGGCTAAGTCTTCACTATTCATGATAACTGGTTTAAATCACACTATAAGTGGCTGAATCTTCACCAAAAATAAAAAAAGGAACAGTCCGACCTGTCCAACTTATTTTCCCTTTCGCACATTGTGTTATTTCTGAAAAAAAAAATCTGCACCAGGAATTAAAAAAAAAACTATAGGCAGCCACCTTCTAGATCGACTACAGTACTTCAGTCACCATAAAAAAAATTTCCTGCTGTTGCAGCACCTACAAGTCATCACCGACCTACAAACTACCCACTGCACTGCTGTCACAGCACACACAGGTCATCTTCGACCTACACACACTCCACAAAGCTGCTGTCACAGCACATACAGGTCACCTCTGACCTACAACCATCACAAGGATCACTCGATCCTACAAAAAAGGAAGGTACAGGTGCTGATCACCTCACATCCGATTGGTTTTTTCCCTTTTTAAGTCTGTCCTGATACACAATCAGGAAAAAAATAAAAAAGAGGAGAACAAAGCTTCTGAGATCAGTCCAAAAAAAAATACCATGGTTCTTAAGAAAAAAATATCAATAGCACGATGGGGAAGGGAAGAAGATAGAGGACTTTATCTCCTTTCAGATCAAATGAACCCGCTCTGATATGATCTTGTCCAGAACTGAAGTGAAGAGAAGGGAGAAGAGAGGAAGAGAGAGGAGAGAAGAGAGATTTGAGAGCACCAAAAGATGCTGGCGGCGCCAGCTTTTTAGTATTTAAATTAGGGCGACCCAACATAACATAAAGAGAAGGGGAATTACAATAGTACGTCTGCAACACTAACAGAAATAAAAAACACAAAGAAAAACAACTTCAACCAGTCTTTTAACAGATTCAAAGAGAAGAAACTGAAGAAAAGAATGAGTGAGAAGAAAGATACTAGATGGTTACTGAAAAAAAAAAGAAAAAGAAAGATACCGGATGGGTTACACCACCTACCATCAGTCCTGATTGGAGTAGATTAATTAAGGACAAGGTATGACAAAGGATGAGGAGTCTCCCCTCGAAAAAAAAGTTATAGAGATACAGAATTTTCAAGTCTTTACAAACTTCCAGAAATAACTTTCATGGGGGTATTATAGTGGTGTGATGAAGTTCCTACTTGAGAGCTAGTAAATTACTATATTCCCAAACAATTGTCTTCTTAAAGTAGGAACAGAATAATGCAAATCATTTAATTGGTATAAAGGACTTATTGGATTTCTATGGACTGAACAGCTAACTTAAAATGGCCCTTGATTGGTACATTTAATTGCAGCTGAAATAAGTGCTGAAAATGGAATGCTTAAAAAACCTAAACTGAAAAATGGTTTAAATCTGGGGGTATTATTGATATAGGATTTTTAGGGGTAAAATAATAACTCCAATGCATGTGCTTTAGTATTCAACAATTATGTCTGGAGTCGCTAAAATGTCGAATGACAAATTTGAGTGTGGAATCTTTTCAATATTCCACTTTCAGATCCTATTTCAGCAGTTTCTAAATGGTAAGTTGCAGGTTTAATTAGATCCTGTGCTGGGCTTCTTGTGGTTGTGCCTGTAGATCTGTGTCAATTTGATTGTCAGATGCATGTGGCATTGATTGACATTTATTGTCTCATACCACATCCCAAGATATTATGCCTTTTCATAAACCATCTAAGTTCAGTTTCTACAACTGCATATCCAATACTGATTTCCATGTTCATATGAGAAAATATTTTCTCTTGGTCTCTGGAACGAGTTCAGCTTCAGTCAGGGCAAAGCCCATTCGGGCAGATTTTACTGCCTTGCATTGAGAATATCTCCGTACTTGTATGCTTTATTTCATGGAGAAATGTTCCCAATGCAAGGTTGCAAAAGGTTGTTAGAACAGTGTGGGCACAGATTTGCCCTGATAGAAGCTGATCTCCTCTGGCACATCTACTCATTATATAGATGCAACAAAGTTATATTTCTGTTTGAAGTAGGAGATCCATTACCTGTTTACATTCGACTACAGAGTAGTTGATACAACATTCTTCTCCTTTTCACTTGCTAGATTTGTATGTCTTGCCACATTAATCAGGAATTGATAAATCATTCTTCAGGGCAAACATTTACTGATGTGGTTGGGAGTCCTTACTATGTTGCCCCGGAAGTTTTGAGGAAGCATTATGGTCCAGAATGTGATGTTTGGAGTGCTGGAGTAATTATTTATATTTTACTAAGTGGGGTTCCTCCATTTTGGGATGGTAAGAATGCCATCTATCTTATGTCTCTTAAGATTATATGTCTCTTCTTGTGACTACCATTAATCTAACAGCCATATTTAACTTTTTTGTTGTTTTATTTCAATATAATTATACAGAAACGGAACAGGGTATATTTGAACAGGTTTTAAGAGGTGAACTTGACTTCATATCAGATCCATGGCCCAGTGTCTCTGAAAGTGCAAAAGATTTGGTCAGGAAAATGCTTGTTCGAGACCCAAAGAAGCGGCTGACTACCCATCAAATTCTCTGTGGGTACACTCACATGATTTGATTTTTTTTTTTACATTTTTCTCCTAAATGAATAATTCAAGAAATCAGGGTGTGGGTTGGTTCCATAAAAGTTTTTTCCTTTTTTCTCATTCTTTCTTTGTAGAAGTGGTTAGTAAACAATCTAACCATTATGGGTAGACTTCCAACTTTTCAACTTTATGTTGTGAACACAATATGACACTGTATAATGGATGATACTGGAGGATGACTCCACTAGCATCATTTTCTTTCTTCACACAAAATTGTATTATGATCCACTATTCTGGTCCATAACTCAAACTTATCATCAAAGGTCATCAACTGTTCTATTATTCTAAGTAATAGCTTAAACCTATCATTGATTATTTTATTTTTTATTTGATTAATTACTTTTGAGAAACGACTATTATTCTTTGTGTTATATGGCAAGACGAAGGCTGTGCTAATGTATAAGGATGCATAAAGTATGGAGAAACAGATCATGCCTCTTCATGGATCTCACCTTTGGAGAACTCTAGGTCAAAATCAGTCTCATCAGATCTTATTCAATTATATACATTCAGTGGACCTTTTTTTTCTTCTTTTTGATAGGATCACCTAGCTGTGTCAATTTGGACAATTTTTGTTGGACTCTTTCTATTCCATTTGTAGAAACTATTCAGTTTCATTTGTACTTGTGTATAGGAAGTGCAGACATTTGATTTCCCAGATGAGGGTTGAAATTTATTGTTGGGGGGATTTTAGACCAAATGACTTTTTTGTTCAATGGCGATACCACTTTATTGGCAGTCTGACCATTTGAAGACACTTGCAAAAGTTCTCCCCTGTTTAAAGTCAGGAAATCTTGTTCTTTTGAAGTAGAACAAGTTCAGAACAATCCATATTTTTCTCTAGAAAAATAGATGGTACATGGTATGCTGTTAGAAAATATGGGAAGATGTTTTCTTTATTTGTTATTTTTATTTGTTTATTTATTTTACTAAAGGTTACATTTTCCGGCAGGCCACCCTTGGGTTCGGGTTAATGGTGTAGCTCCTGATAAGCCTCTTGATTCTGCTGTTTTAACTCGCTTGAAACAATTCTCTGCCATGAACAAACTCAAGAAAATAGCAATCAGAGTGAGTATCTTGATATTTCTGAGCCTATGGCCTTTCTTTCATGACTTGAAAAGTGAAATTTGTACTCCTAAAAACTAAATAGTGTGCATGTGTTGTTTTCTCGAGTCTCTGGCTAAAATTCATTGTTGAAAGCCTGGAAACATAGGCTTCTTCAACATTTCTTTATACTAATCTCTGTGGAAAAACCTTTATATGAAAACCAACTGGGTTTTTTTCTAACTCATAATTGTGTTATTAAAGTCATCTCTCTCTTAGGAATGGCAAGAGGCGAGGGAGGGCCGGGATTTGCATGCCCCATCCCTGATCCCGAACTCAAAAAACCCACCCCGTCCCCGCCCTGTACCCCAGTGGGGCTAGAAATCCCAACCCATCCTCATCCCTGTGAGGAACGAGGATCCCTGAATTTGCGCCACCCCACCCCGGTCCCACTTGTAAGTTGATTTTTTTGTTTACTTTTTTGAAACCTATCCAGAACTATATTATATTATGTAATGTATAATATAATATATCATAATATAAAGAAACACACTTTAGTTGGTGCAGGTTTGGGGTGGGATGGACAAATGCCACCCCCGCTCTGTTCCTGGTTACTAAAGTTCTGGGTTTCCCCAAAACCCGCCCCCGATCAGGGTGGGGTGGGCTGGAGCCCCACGGGGACAGGTCAAGTTGCCATCTCATCTCTCTCTCTCTCTCTCTCTCTCTCTCTCTCTCTAAAAGATACACAGATGCATACACAAACATTTCTCCAGTTTTTTGGTTGTACATGCATATGTACATGTATCAGTTGTACATGTACATGCATATGTACATAATGGGGTGTTACTCTCAAGTGCATATTAGACTAAATTGTTTTTATATTTTTATTTTATGTTTTTAATAGATACCATTAAACTAAATAATTCATATTCACATTGTGGGTTTATAGTATTAATATTATTATTCTTATACTAGTTTCTTTCTATTATTTTCTTATTTGTTTGGGTCCAATTGATACACAACTCAGTGACATAGTCCTGAACCCTTTAGGATTTTAAAACTAGGGATGCAAATGGATCAGATCGGATTCAAATCAGGGTATATCTGAATCTGATCCGACAGTACAAATAGCAGATCCAATCCAATCCGAAAGTCCGATCGGATCTCACAAACACAAATTTGAATTCGAATCCGTTAATAATGTCAGATATCCAAATATGATCCAATCCGATTTAATTTCTGAAAATTTAAAAAAATATAATAGTTTATATAAAGAAAAAACAAAAAATACAAATATTTTCTTCAACTATTTTCATCATATTTATATAAATGCATTTTTATAAAAAATTACAAAATGCATTATAAGCATATTTATAAATAAATAAACAACATATATATATATATATACACACATCACATCAGAGTGGATCTTTTTGGAACGGATAGGGGGCTGATCTGAATTCGACCCAATTTTCAATTGGATCCTATTACCCAATCTGAAAATCTGACATGAGTATATCCGAATCCAACAATATAGGATTGGACTTTGGATCGAATTGGATCATGATCCAATCCATTTACACACCTGTATTTAAAACCCGAATTGATTAGTAAGAAATAACTTGAAGATTTAATCCAATTGACTCACAAGAACAATCACTAGGACTTCTTCCTCTTCATCATCATCATCTTCTTTCTTCCTAGGACCAAAACGAGGGCTCAACCCTTATGTTTTGTATATTTTCTTTCTTTATTTTTCTTCTCATAAATATGTTGGTTTTCTATCTTTTGATATGGGTTTTATACTTATTTCATGAGAATTATGGTAATTATTAGTTAATCACTACTTATTACTATTAAACCTGGGGAAAACTACCCTAGGATATATATATATATTAAAAAACTCATCGCCTAGGCGACTAGGCAACAAGGCACTCCCCTATCACCTAGCTTCATCTTGGTGCCTTAAAAACTATGATAGCCTTTTGATATTTATCTCTACACTCGTATACATATAAAAGTAGCATATATCCTATACTAGTTTGAGATGTGGCTTGATTTCTGATAAGCCAATACATGGTTATAATCTAGAGTTCCTCCTATGTTCTGGAGAAAAATTTTCAAGCCATTGAATGACATGTCAATTTGTCTTATCCATTACAGGTCATTGCTGAAAAGGTGTCTGAAGAGGAAATTGCTGGCCTGAAGCAAATGTTTAAGATGATAGACACAGATAATAGTGGACACATCACTTTTGAAGAACTCAAGGCTGGTTTGGAAAGAGTGGGTGCTAATCTCAAGGAGTCTGAAATTTATGCATTAATGCAAGCTGTAAGTTTCCATTTGGATTTCATATGCAAGGTTTCTGTTATAGTTAATAGTGGCTCTAATCAGCTAATTTCTGATTGTATGGTGGAAAAACTGTCCTGATCATCTTAATTTATAAAAATGATTGAAATTTCTGTTTCTAAAACATTATCACAATGCATGAATCTAGCAATTTTTAGAAAAAAGCATAGGAACATGACAAGGGGAAGGAAGTAAAAGGTTAAGTTATTTTCTTGTACTAGAATCCCAATGCCACATCCTGGAAGATATAAATACGCTTTTATGTTTATGAGTTATGATTTGTACATTGAGAACCATAATTAGTGTTCATTATAGTAAGGGAAATTCATTGAGATATTGTTTTGTGGAGAAAATGGTATCTGGCTATTCTATACATTTCTCCTTCCCATTCTTGAGAACATCTTATTCCCTAACTTGTTTTTTGATTCATGTCATTTGTTAACATGCATAATTGAAAGTGCTTGAAGTGACTCGTGCATGTGGATAGCATAGACCTGGAATAGATGACAACTGCACCTCGCAAGGCACTAAACCGCCCGTCTAGGGGATCACTCCTCAAACTTTCCCTTAATGGATTTCTTTGGCATCTTTGCATGTTTCTTGTTTGTCTTTCTAGTCCATTGTACCAGAGTTCTGTTGATTTGTTCCAGTCTTGGGATGGAGGTGGTGACAAATTTTATCTCATTTCCCTTCAGCGTTCTATTAACCATCCACTTATTCTTAAAACCACAGGCTGATATTGACAACAGTGGTACCTTAGATTATACCGAGTTCTTAGCTGCAACTCTCCATCTAAATAAAGTTGAAAGGGAGGATCATTTGTATGCAGCTTTCTCATACTTCGACAAAGATGGAAGTGGTTACATCACTCAAGATGAGCTCCAACAGGCTTGTGAAGAGCTTGGCATAGAAGCCACTAACCTTGAAGAAACGATACGAGAAGTGGATCAGGACAATGTAAGTGTCTCTTCTAAGAAAATTTGTATATTTACGTTATAAATAAATCCTCTTTGATTGTTGTTAATGATAAAGAAAAATTCCTTGTGTTATTTTGGAGAAAATGATTAATCAATACTGTTTTCCCAGGATGGGCGCATAGACTACAGCGAGTTTGTGGCAATGATGCAAGATAAAGGTTTTGACAAGAAAGGATTTCCAAATGCCTCAGGCATTGGGTTTAGGGAAGCCTTAAAGCTTGGCTGATACATAGTAGTTGTCATGTATTTTCAAACTTCTTTTTTCTCTGTATTAGCCATTAGTAGAGTTGGTTGGGGCAAGGTTTTCTTGAGTTGAGTTGCTCTAAGTAGAATTGGAAGTGCATATTAGTTGTAAAAATCGGCCATTTTCCATAGAAAACAAAAAATCAGGTCTATTTAGTGTTTGTTGTATGCACTGACCTTTTTCTTGGTTGGTTGAACTACATGTTGCAATAGATGTACATTTCCCCCTATTATAGACTCCATCCATGATGGTACCTTTAGGCTATGTTTGTTTTGAAGGAAAAGGTAGGGAAAAGAAGGGAAAGGTAGGGAAATCTATACAAGGTTTGTAAAGGTTTCCTTAACTTTCCCTTCCTTTCTCTACTTTTTCCTTCAAACCAAACACAGCTTATAGTTGGTCTGTCTGTCTTACCGCCCTTATTTTACTAGTTTCATCTGTCAATTCTCAGAAGCTTCAAATGAAATTTGCTTGGAAAACAAGTAAAAATAAAAGTTTTCATTTTAATTTACAGAGAAGTACGGACAGGTCTAATGCAGATTTCTGATTTCCATTGCAGAGCTATAAACATTTAAAATGTCAAAAACCCCCACTCTAACACCCACCCCAACTGTAATTTGGGCCTAAAAATTCTGACCCTGGGCTGAACCGTCATTCTTCATTTAATTTATCCGATTAAAATATCATCAATACACCCGATTCCCTCAAGTGGGTATCAGTGTATACCGATATGAGCAATACACATTTTTTTTTCTACTTTTTAATTTTATACTTATTGGAGGGTCTCATGGTATTTTAAATTAAAAAAAAAAATCGTATGATGGGTCCGCCTGTATCTTGATGCAATGATATGGATACAATACACATAAATGGGATGATTCGAATAAGTTAAAACAGTCCAAGGTGGATATGATTTTCATAGTATTTGATTAATCAAATCGGCTTCGAATATAAAGTGATTTGATTGGATAATTTTCCGATTCTGTTAATATGGTTTATTGTATATAACAAGTCTTTAAAAATTTGTGATGGACACTATTTCAAAAAAAAAAAATTAAATTTTTAATGTTTTAACTTTTAAATGCAAAGGGTCAAAGACTGCCTCACCCTCTCTCTTACATTTTAACTTCCCAACTTCACTTTTACTGGCATAAGTTATCATGATGGCTTCCTTGCAAAGGCCACAATACTTTCTCTTATGAATTTTACCATTTTAAAATGACTGAAGTCATTTTCTTTTGCTTGGTCTTTACCATTAGTTCCGTTCTTTGCTTCCTCTTCTTCAATTTTACCGATTTGTTTGTTTGCTGCATATCTGCAGTTGAATATCTCTTCCACTCTTGTCTTTGGCACATATGGCAGCGAGTAATTGCAACTTACCTTTCTTCTTTCTATTTTCTTCTCAAACCCTAACCCTTCATTCATACTTCTTTCAAGTTGTTCATCATCTTTGTCAGCCCTTGAACATTATTGGCACTTCAATTTGGTTGGGAGAGTCATGCTATTTTGGAAAATGCAAGTAGAAAAAGGTCCCATTTCCCCTTTCTGGTTCATCGGCCATTTCTGTTCACGTTTTAGAGATTGTCTTCTCACCTACGGTTGTACAAATACGCCAATCCACCATTGAAACAATGTTAAGGTTTGTTATTTATCTTTGTCTGTTTTCAGAGTTTAATAATTAATTCACCGAATTCAAATTAGAATTGAAACTGAATTCGAATATTAATTTTCAATATCTGCCAGATATTAAATTGAATTTGAATATATAAATTTCTAATCGAATTCAAATATTACTTGATTCAATTTGAATTCGAATTGCTTACACCCCTAATTGATATTTTAATCATTGGTTCCAACTTTTAACTAGAGATCAAAGTCAGTGGAATCTGCTTACAGACAAAGACTGACTGGACATGTTTGGACTTTGGATTGGTTTTCCTCTTACCACAAAATAGAACATTGAGCTGCTAACTATGATTCGATTTCTTCCAGTGTGGGAAGTTAGGTTTGAGAGTGAAGGTTTCAAATGCAACAAAACCAATTTTGTGAGCTTCACTTTGATTGTAGTTACTCTGACTCATAACCATGGTTCAAAGTATCTCTCCATATGCAAGAATTGCGTATTATGAGTTTTTCAAATTTCCATACTTGTTTGTTTTTTTTTTTTCATTTTTCAGTTTAATGTTTTCATAGTAGATCTACTAAATATATGTTTGGTACCAGAGTTGAGCTTTTCAAGCAGCAGTGATTGTCTCAAATTTTATGAGAGCAACTTTTGGACAAAATGTCATTTTGACGTTTCTTGCAATGGAAACAAAATTTTTACCTTTTTGCCTATATTGGTGCCTAATGATGCTTAATTGGCACTAAATAATAATATAAAATATGCACAAAACCCAAAATTATTTTATTGAATTTAAGGGCTTGGCTATTATTCCAAGACGATGGTTGTTGCCGAGTATTTAATACTCTGAACCAAAGGCAAAACGGTGATGGCAATTGGACCCCAATTGGCAACCAAAGATTATCATATTAATTATACCTCAACTTTCATTGCAAGGCCGCAAGCCTGCAACTGGTATCCATTTATCTGAATTTTGAGTTTGAATCCTATTCTCTTCATCTCCAAGTGTATACTCACTTTCTGTCCAATCAGTATATCATTGAATCAAATGTGACACCGCAATTGATTTAACGTAATCATATAATCCAATTCAACGATACTTGAATATTTATATTTGGGGTTTGGAATTTTCATTGCACAATAAATGGAAAACAAGTAAAGGCAAAATTTTACATCTTCATTTAGTATTGTTTATTTGATCAAAAGACACAAAAGTACTTATTTTGTTCTATAATTGAAAAGCAAACTATAGAAAAAATATCATTTTATATTTTTTATTTAATGTTTATTTATACTATACTATTATTAAAAGTGTGAGTAATGGTGTGGAACTTTTGTTTGACTAAATTACCCCAATTTTTTAATTTGGTCCTTATCTAATTTTAAGAATAGAAATGTAATTTGCAAAACCACTTTTCTCCTCATTCAATTCCCTACCATTAAGTCTCGTATTTAAAGTATTAACACCTATTAACATTCATTGAATCATTTTCTTAACTATAACACCCCCTATTTTTTGAATTTGATCCCTCTCTAATTGTGAGGCCATAAAATGTAATTTGAACTATTACATTTCTCATCATTCTATTTCCTTTCATTAAGTCTTATCTTAAGGTACTAACTTTCATTCTTTACTGAATCTTGTAATTAAAATAATATTTTCACAAAATAAAACAAATAAATTCTATTAATTAGATCTAAATCCAATAATTTTAACAATATAAAATACGTGATTTATAAATTTACTCAAAATGGAATTGCTTTTCAATCATGGTGGTGAGTAAACAATTCAACCATCTGAGTCAAGTGGACTAATCCATGATGTTATAATTAAATAAAAACTTTTAAAATATACATAAATAACAAATATAAAAATTTTGGGTACATTCCTAATGTTTTATATATCATATTAAAGAAAATTAAGTATGGTATAAATAATAATTGTTCTTATTGATGTTAGAATAAAATATAAATTTAAAATCAATCCAAATAGAAATTATTTTTTGTGGGGGCAGGTCAACAAGTCAACCTTTTGAGTCAAATGTGTTAACCCTTGATTAGGGGTGTCAACGGTATTCAAAAATCCGTTTTCGAAATCGAGATTAGACATAATCGAATTGAATTCAGATATGACATGATTCGAATAAAAAAATGTTTGAATTCAATTGATTATTTAATTATTATATATATATATATATTATAATTTAAATATATAATAATTAAATTATATAAATAATTTATATATTTATATATTTGTATACTTTATATAAATAAAATATTTACTTATATATTTATAAATTACCTAAAATGATAAATTAGTTGAATTCGAATTGAATCGAATATTCGAATATTTAATCAAATTTAAATTTGAACATTGATTTTTAATATCCACCGGATAACAAATTGAATTCTGATAACAAATTTTCTAATCGAATTTGAATTTGGATGTTGCCTGATTCAATTCGAATTCAATCAGTTTACAGTCCTATCCTTGATATCATAATTAAATAAAAAAATGTAAACATATAAAAAACACAATAATATTATGTAATAATACCAAATTTTATAAATAACATTTATGCACCTATCTAATATTTTGTATTAATCATATTAAAGAAAAATGAGTGTGATAAATAATAATTGCTTTATTAATGTTAGAAATAAAATATAAAAATTTAAGGTCAATACAAAAATGAATTTGTTTTGCTCGTGGTAAGTCAACAATTCAACCTTTTGGGTCATATGTGTCAACCATTGATTTCATAATTAATTAATAAACATTAAAAAAGATAAAAATACAAAAGAATATGAAAACATAGAAATTCTATAGAAAACATTTGGATACATCTCTAATATTTTATATTAATCATAATAAAAATTAGACACAATAAACAAGAATTGTTTTTAACTTTTTATTGATGATATAAATAAAATACAGAATTCAAAACTAACCCAAAAGTGAAATTGTTTTCCTGTTTGATGGTGTATCAATTCAACATTTCAAGTAAAATGTGTCAACTCGTGAATTTATAATTAAATAATAAAATTTTGAAAAGATAAAAACACAAAAATATATAAATTATGTAGAAAACACTTGGACATATCTCTATATTAATGAACCACAATATGTGTGAAAAATAAGAATAATTTTTATAGAAATAGAAATATAAAAAAATTATAGAAAAATTTTGGAAACATTTTATATGCTATCATCATCATGACAAAATTTGTCAGCTGCAAAGCACGTACACACATACTAACATTATAAAAAGTACGAATAGAAGAGCCTTGTGTTCTAGAATTTTTCATAACTAAAATGCCCTTCCTTTTAAAATATGGTCCCTCTTTATTGTGACAACAAAAACTGTAATTTGAATACTTATTATTAAGTTCATTCAATTCCCTTTCATTAATTTCTACACCCGAGGTATTAACTCTCATTCTCCCTCATTGAGTTGTATATTCAATGCATTTTGTTTATCATCATTAAATTCCACTAATTAAATTAATACATAATAATTTTAATTGTATAAAAACTTGTATTTTTAAAATTAACTTGGAAACAAAACTATATTTTTTATCTACAAAAATTATTAATGATGAAAA